GCAGCTTTGCTTTTATTTTATTTTTTTTTCCCTCCCTGATCTTTGTGACTTTCTGTCATGCTCCCTTTGATGTCAAAACAGCTTCTGCTCAGCTGCAGGGCTGCAGTTTGAGAAGACCAAGGAAAATGTGCTGTGCACACAGGATTGCACAAGGCTTATCCATCTCTTTCCTGGATGGGTGTTCCAGCACGTACTCATGCAAATGATTTGTAAAAAGTTAAATAGATTTTGGTAGCTAAACTGCCAGTGATAGCATCCAACATTTTCACCTGGGAGCCTTGAAATGAAACGTGTGCATCAACGTGAGGCTGATTTCTGGGAGCCCAAAACACATGTGTCCTGCCTTTCCATCCTGGAATGGCCCAGGGCAGGGAGCTCTGCTCCCATCACCCCAGTGCCATTTGGAAACAAAGGCAGCAGCCCAGCTGTCCATTCTTTTGGCCACATGTGTGATTAATGCCAGGTTGGAAGGAAGAAGTGAGTTTTACCATCTGGCGAGGCTCTGGCCTGGAGCAAAGCCCCGTTTGCAGGCACTCAGTGAGGCATTGCTCACAGTGCAGTTCTGGGAATCAGAGTGGAAAAAAAGAATTAACTGTGTCAGGCTCTAAACTTGCATAAAATCACTCAGATGGCTCATTAAAGGAACCATTAAAGGAAGGGAGATATCAATGCATGAAATTTTATAAGCTTTTCAAGATAGAAATGTGGAACTGATTCTTGATGATATGAAATCCAGGAGAATTTCTGTCCCAGAACCCCAAACCTGGACAGGCTTTAAGAGGTGTTCCCCAGACAGCATCTGTTTCATTTTGTGAAATGGTAAAGAAATTACTCCAACAGGCTTGCTTCAATTTTATTTGCCTCCCCGAGCTACCTTGTGGTCTGGAGCACGTGTGTGGATGTGAAAGCAGAGACGCTTTCCCTCTTCCTTATGATTCCTTAAAAACCAGCACAGCACAGTCATGCAGCCCCTGTGAAGTCATTTTGGCATCAAGCAAGAATGATGGGATGGAGCTGACACTTGTGCAGTTGGATTAATAAGAGAGGAAGCAGGAACTGGTGGCTGTGGCCATGAGTACAAGTTCCAGCTGGGAAAACTGTGGCTGTGAAAAATAAGCAAGAGGGGAGGGATCGGGAGACTCCCTGCAGAGATGGAAGGACTGGGTAAAATCTCAGCAGAAAAACATAATTTATAATTAAAGGAATTAGGACAAGGGGCAATGGTTTTAAATTGAAAGGGGAGGTTTTGATTTGGTGTTAGGGAGAAATAGTTCCCTGGGAGGGTGGTCAGGCCCTGGCACAGGGTGCCCAGAGCAGCTGTGGCTGCCCCTGGATCCCTGGCAGTGCCCAAGGCCAGGTTGGACAGGGCTTGGAGCACCTGGGACAGTGGAAGGTGTCCCTGCCCATGACAGGGGTGGCACTGGATGAGCTCTAAGGCCCCTTCTAAGCCAAACCATTCTGGAATTCTGTGATGAAGAAATCATTCTAACTTTATTTTTTACATGTAAGGCTACAGCTATAGGGTACCTAGGGCACCAGAAAGGGAGGATGGCATCAAGGTGAAGCACCTTGAGAGAAGTTTTTCATTTACAACAACTTAAATGAAATTTGGTGTTACTGTCTGAAGAAATACAGAGTAATAACTGCTGACTGGAGCTACATCACTCATGGAGAAAAGGAATTTCACTTAAAAAGAATAATTATGTGGGAAAAGTAGGGTCTTGCTTGAGATTATCTATATTTTACATATATACAATGCATCATTTCAATTTTCTCCTGCATTATTTAGTAAAAGGAGAGGTTTTATGGGGAAAAGGACCTGATGGTGGCTGTGAATTCCTCTCAGAAAACCCCAGATTTCACTCAGGGGAGCAGAAACGGGGTGGAAGGTACCAATAATGTAAACATCAATGAAAAAATCCCATTAGAAATATTTTATGCAGTTTGTAATTAATCCAGTTATGGGATATATTGTATGATTATTTTTTCCTTTTTGACACACTCAACTCTCCAAAATTCCTGAAGGACTGGGTTTGCAGAAACCCCATAAGGATACTGTGGAGGAATGCAGAGGCTGTTTGTGGTTTCAGTCTGGTTTTGTGATGCACCACTTCCCTCTTTTCCCTTGCTCCACAGCTAAACATTGATCCCAGTTGCTGTGGATGGCGTTTCCTTGGGTCAGGCTTTGTAGAGAAGCAATTTAAATACACTTATACCATCCTAGTGAGGGGGTGCTTTTTTTCCCCATTTGTGCAGCAAAATCAACTGCCTAACCCTGCCAGATTGATAGCTCCATGGATTGCCCTTTTCTAAAGGTGGGAATAAAACTCCTGCTTGCTTCTCTGCTGCCAGTCTGGGGAGAAAAGGGAAAAAATTCTTTACAACTCTATTTTATTGCAAGGTTAATCTGGTCTGCTCCTTGCAGGCAGGTGAGTGGGTTCGTTCTGCAATTACTGGGTTGCAACAGGAAAAGCAGTTTTTGGAATTCCCAGTTTTTTTAATTCCCTGCTTGATAGAGTTGAATGCTTGATAGCATTCCTTGGAATGCTGTCAGGATCTGCCTTGTTGATCAAGCTTATTCCAGGCCTCTCTGAAGACCCAAAGGCCGTTTTCCAAGGAGGAACAGCAGTTTCCTGCTGTGGCTGGCACATCGTGCCCCCTGTGTGACCTGTGCCCTCCCTCTGTTGCAGTGACCATGCAGCAGGTGGCCAGGACAGTGGCCAAGGTGGAGCTGTCGGACCACGTGTGCGACGTGGTGTTCGCGCTCTTCGACTGTGACGGTGAGTGAGCACCCAGCCTCAGCCAGGCTGAGAGAGTCAGGGCCAGAAATCCGGGGGGACAGGGCTCTTCTTGCCATGCTCCTTGTCCGTGGATCTGTGGTGAACCCCTGTTGGATTGTGCCCTTTTCTGACCCAGGGATGGGGCAACTGAGAGGTGTTTTAAAAACTTTTATTCCATTTTCAGTCTCATGTGAAGGGTGAGACAATACAGATGTTATAATTCACACCATCACAATCAGAAGCCAACTATTTCCTAATTACAATGCATTATAAGTGATTCTTGGCCTATCAGCTTTTTGCTACACCATGCTGTAAATGCCTTAAAGCCAATCATCTAAAATTACCCCTCATGGGTCCCACTACAATGCATCTTTCATGGTTCTATTTCTCCAAAGTATCCAGTAATTTTTACATGACCATCCTTTGAAACTTGTTTCTGGTTCTATTTCTCTCTCAACAATGTCTGTCCTATTCCATGGCATCTCTAAGTCAGCATTTCTTCTCTCAAAGTTTGCATACAGATGCACACTGTGAGCCTTCTGTCAGATTTTGAGACTTCTCTACAAATCCATTTCCCACATTCCCCCTGCCCTTTTGGGAAGGGTGGTAGCCACCCTGTGAGATGTGGATGTTGGAGCACAGATGGGAGAGTTTGGTGTGCACACTTTGCTCCTTTTCCCCCGCCAGAGAACTCCAGTTGGTTTAACAAAATGAACTGTTGTGCTCCAGCATTGGAAACGAGCTGGTCTGGGCCTTTATCTCCAAAGTCCTAGACAAATGTCAGCTTAGTTTTTAATTAATTAGTAGCAGCTTTGTGCCCTACTGGGAAGCTGGCTTTGCAGGGGGTGTGAGTGCCCCGGGGTAGTTGTTGCCACACTGAAGCACTCCTGGCTTGATTTAATGGGAGTTACCGGAGTCTTTGCCAGGTGACAGCAATTCCGACTTGGAAAGAAGGAAATTCTGCATTTGCCCAAAACTGCCAAGCCAAAATCAGAGTTCTGGCTGGCACCCTGCTTCTCTAGCACAGTCACCAGCATCTGGCAGCTCTGAGTGGCAGCACTGCTGCATGAACATTAAAATATTTATTTAATTTATTTATTCCTTGTTGTCCCTCTTGGTTTCAGCCCCACCTGCTCCTTTGTATGTTTCTAAGGTCACAGCTCCTGTTTTATTTTCCTCTGTGCTTCAGTACCACTGTTGTGATACAATCTTCACGCCAGATGATCAGGCTGGAGATTAGAGTGAGCTGAAGTGTATCCAAATATTCTCTGTTTGCCTTCTCTCACAGGAGAATCTCCTAAATATTTTCATAGCAAATCTTGGGGGGGAAAGACTCTGGTTGCCAGAGGAGTCCCCCAAGGATGTAACCAGACACAGATGTCTTTTTATTATTATTATTTTGTTGTTTTCTCTCCATCAGTGTTTGCAGACATTAAAAATCTGCAGCACTGGAGGGAATTTTGCTCAACCCTTGATAGTTTGCTGGAATTTTGCTTCCCAGTGGCTGCATTCTCCATAACCTCATTAATCAGACTGACAAATCTTCCCTTCTACTCCATTTGAAAAATTTGTGCATCCATAATTTCCTAAACCACTTAAAGCAGTGTTTCCTGAGAGGACAGGGACATTTGGTTTGCATTTGCTTTTCTGCCTCCTGCAAGCATCCATGGGGTTGGGATTTAAACTCTGTGGCTCGGGAACCCTTACTCAGCAGGATATTTTGGGAGATGGGAGCCAAATGTGCTCTCAGTTTCTGGACGAAAGGACACTCATGGCTGCTACCCTTTAAAGTTATCATTTCAAGGAGGTTGCTGGTGGGTCTCTGATGTTTTTCCTCCTTTTTGCAGGGAATGGAGAGCTGAGCAACAAGGAGTTTGTTGCCATCATGAAGCAGCGCCTGATGCGAGGCTTGGAGAAGCCCAAGGACATGGGCTTCACACGGCTCATGAGGGCCATGTGGAAGTGTGCCCAGGAGACAGCATGGGACTTCACAGCTCCCAAGCAGCAGTAGCAGGGTTGGGAAGGAGCACCCCCATTCCCTGGATCAGCCCATGGGCACAGCAGGGTGGCACCAGGCTCTGGAGAGCCCAGGCTGGCTGTACCAGGAGGGTTTTGTCAATCCAAGTTAGAAATCCTGCCTGCTGTATTTGCTTGCTGCTGGCTCCTTCGTATTCCTCTCTCTCAGGAACAAGGAAAGGACTTCTACTGCCACCACCTGCATGGTGTGATGTGCCCTGCTCCAGAGCTGGGCCCCAAATCACCTTTATTTAATACTATGAAAAAATGGCATGGGGGGATTATTTTGAATCTCAGACTGCTCCTTGGAAAAGCCAGGCAATTCCTGGATTTCAGCCAGCCAAAAGCTCCGTGCTGCACCTGCTGCAGAAGGGCAGCTAAAAGTAGTGGAGCTGTCCTGCCCTTCCTCCCTTGCAGAAGCCTCCTGCTGCAGGAGCTCCCTGACTGATCTCCTGAGTGGGGAATTGCACTGGGAAGGCCTGACAGGCGTGATTTGCCGGGTTCTGTCCTGTAAAATACCATGTAAAGATGTTCTCACAGCAGCCTGCCTCTGTCTCTCCATTGCTCCAGACCCTGCCCCAAGACTGGGACTGAGGCACTGAAGATGGGGTGCTTTGGAAGGAGAGGGGGGGAACCTCCAGGACTTTCCAGAGCTGGAAAGACAAAGGGGATCAATCACTCCTGGAATACTTTCCTTCCCCAGCACAGGAAGGACATGGGGCAGCTGGAGGGAGAAGCCACCAAGGTGATTAGAGGGATGGAGCAGCTCTGCTGGGAGGAAAGACTGGAAGAGTTGGGATTGTTCAGCCTGGAGAGAAACTCCAGACCGACCTAATTGTGGCCTTGCAGTGCCTGGAGGTGACAGGAAACATGAAGAGGGAATACTGACAAAGGCCTCAAGTGCCAGGATGAGGGGAAATGGTTTCCCACTGCCAGAGGGCAGGAATGGATGGGATACGGGGGAGAAATCCTTCCCTGTGAGGGTGATGAAGCCCTGGCACAGGGTGCCCAGAGCATCTGTGGCTGCCCCTGGATCCCTGGTAGTGTCCAAGGCCAGGTTGGACACTGGGGCTTGGAACACCCTGGGACAGTGGGAGGTGTCCCTGCCATGGCAGGGGGTGGCACTGGAGGGGCTTTAAGGTCCCTTCCCACCCAAACTATTGTAGGATTCTGTGGTTTGTACTGGGATATTGATCCTGACCACTCCAGCCAGAGTTCTCTTCCTCTCCTCCCTCATTTTCCAAGCAGTGCCTGTTCCTTTGGGGTGGTTGGGGTGTGGGTTACTGTGCTGTCACCCCACAGACCAAGGTGGGTGTGCAGGTCCGGCCCTTCCTGCCCCAGCTGTTCCTCCCTCTCCCCTGCCTGCTCCCCACGGCCATCCTCCAGGGATCTGTCACCTGTCTCTGAATTCCTTTTTGGAATGATCGGTTCCCGCTATCCCTGCTGCTACTGAATGTGAAGCAATGTGCAACAATGGAGCCCGAGCAGCCTCATCCCTCCTCGCCGTCTCCTGGAGCCAGGACCTGTTCCAAAGGCTGGAAGCTGCATAAGGAGGAGGACTCTAATGTTAATAATAATTAACAACCCCTCCGGGGTGCCCTCTGCCTTGCCCTCCCGCTGTTGGTGGCTGGCAGGGCACTCCCCACTGCCGCCCCCCACACCCCACTGCCGCCCCCCGAACCCCGCTGCCGCCCCCCACACCCCGCTGCCGCCCCCCCACTGCCGCCCCGCTGCCGCCCCTCACACCCCGCTGCCGCCCCCCACACCCCGCTGCCGCCCCTCACACCCCGCTGCCGCCCCCCACACCCCGCTGCCGCCCCTCACACTCCGCTGCCGCCCCCCGAACCCCGCTGCCGCCCCACACCCCGCTGCCGCCCCCCACACCCCGCTGCCGCCCCCCACACCCCGCTGCCGCCCCCCACACCCCGCTGCCGCCCCCACACCCCGCTGCCGCCCCCCACACCCCGCTGCCGCCCCCCGAACCCCGCCGCCGCCCCCCACACCCCGCTGCCGCCCCGCGCCCGCCCGGCCCCACAGAGCCGCCCCGCCCGGGGGCCGGGTCCCGTTACGTCATCGGTCCGCGCCCGGCCCCGCCCTTCCGACCCCCCCGCCCGGCCGCCGCCGCCATGGAGTCGAACCGGGACGAGGCGGAGCGGTGCATTGGTATTGCACTGGCCGCCCTCAAGGCCAACCAGCCCGACAAGGCCCGCCGATTCCTGGAGAAGGCGCAGCGCTTGTACCCCTCGCAGCGGGTCCGCGGTGAGCGCCGGCCCGGGGGCGCGGCGGGGGGCCCGGGGGAGCGCGGCCTGCGCGGCCGCCGCCGGGCCTGACCTCTCACCCTCACGGCGCCTGCGCGGTGCGCGCGGGGAACGGCGGGAAAGCGAGTTCCTCGGGGGTCCCGGGGGTGTCCGGGGGTCTGGGCCGCGGTACCGCCGGGGACCGATGGGCGGGATCCGGCACTGTCGGCCCGCGGCCTCTGTCTTTAGCGGGGGCTCACAGTGAGGAGAGTGCCGGGAAGGGAAGGGGGACCGGCTCCGCGCTGCTGTGGCACCCCTGAGCCGCGGGCACAACACCCGCTGCTGGTGCAGCAGCGCTGAGGGGAGGGAAGGAGCCCGGCAAGGCGAGGGAGAGGTTCTCGGGGAGGCTTCGAAAAGCTCTTCTTCTCCTCCTGTTCCTCGTATTCCTCTTCTCCTTTTCCTATTACACTCCTGCTATTCCTCCTCCTGTTTATCTCCTCCTTACATTCCTCCTATTCCTCTCCTATTCCTTCTCTCCTTCTCCTATTCCTTTGCTTCTGTTTCTGTTGTTTTCCTCCTCCTCCTCCTGTCCCTCTCCTCTTCCTGTTTTTCTCCTCTTATTCCTGTTCCTCTCCTCCTCCCATTCCTCCCCTCCCTCTCCTATTCCTCTCTTCCCTGTTCCTGCATTCCCCCTCTTATTCCTTCTCTCCTCCTATTCCTCCTCATCTCTTCCTCTTATCTGTCCTCTTCTCCTCCTCCTTCCTCCTATCCTCCTCCCATCCCTCCTCCTCTCCTCTTCCTGTTCCTCCTGTTTCCATCATATTCCTCCTCTCCCTGTCCTGTCCCTGCTCCAGCAGTTGCCCCCTGTTTGCAGACAGACAGGCTGGGGCTGAGCTCACACTCTCACAGTAACAAAACAATCCTCCTCCAAGACTTTCTGCCAGATTTACGTTGGTTTTCATCATTTCCTGAAAGCTTTAATTCATATGGGAAATGGTTTGTGAAAGCAGCCAAACTCGATTCTTTCCCTGCATGTTCTTACATGGCTGAATATTATGCAAAGGGCTGAAAGTTTAATTTTTTTGTTGTTGTTTTTTTTTTGCTTTGACCTCATCTGAGTTTGGATTTTCTGGCTGAGCCTTGCAGCTTGTTTGCCCCAAGGCTTCCTGTAATCTCTTTTTGGTTGCACCAGGCCTCCTCCCTCAAACACAGCGTGTGCTGTGGTGTGGTTTTCCTCCCCTCCCTTTCCTCTGGAATTTATACTTTGGTGAAATTATTGGGTAGGAAAAGTGACTTTTGGAGGAAGGCAGAGCCTGGGGAGGGTGGGGGCAGCAGGGCAGGTTAATGTCAAACACAACATGCTAATTTGTGGCCAGACCCAACCAAGTTTCTCATCCAAGGACCTTTTGCTCCATGTGCTGCTGGGTCTGGAGTTGGGAAATGCTGCCAGAGATCCCACGGTGGTTCCTGAGCCTCTGAGGCGCTCCTGGGAAATCTCTTCCCCAGGAGATACCCAGGGTTTGGCAACACTCAGTAACGTGGCCTTGCTCAGCCAGTGCTGCAAACTCTGACCCTGGCTGGGATTTTTTGGATCAGGGAAGGGTTTTGCAAGGGGATTGCAGCAAAAATCTCCTGTGTCAGGGCACGTTGGCTGAGACACAGTCACACTCTGGTCACCTTCAGGTGGGAGCTGGGGAAAATTTATGGGAAGTTGGGCAAATGTTGGCTAATAAGGGAGGAAAAAGGCTCTGTGGCACATGCTGAGAGGAGCTGAGTTGGCAGAACTGAAACGTAATTCTGCATTCTCTGCATCTGAATTTGTGCTGTGCTGGGGCTGCACAGAGAATGAAAAAAGCAGCAGGTTTGGGGCTGTGGAGCAAAATGGGACTGACCTGTGGCCATCTGTGGGTGTCTGTGCTTGGGTTTGGGAAATGCACTCTGGGCAGCAGGGGAGGGGGGATTCTGCCCCTCTGCCCCTGTGCTCAGGTGAGACCCCACCTGCAGAGCTGCCCCAGCACAGGAGGGACCTGGAGCTGCTGGAGAGAGCCCAGGGCAGGCATCAAGTTACTGAGGGGACTGGAGCACCTTCCCTATGGAGCCAGACTGGGAGAGCTGGGGCTGCTCAGCCTGGAGAAGAGGAGGTGTGAAGACCTCACAGCTCCTTCCAGGGCCTGAAGGGGCTACAAGAAAATTTGAGAGGGATTTTATCAGGAACTGGAGTAGCAGGACAAGGGGAATAGCTTCCCAGTGCCAGAGGACAGGGCTGGATGGGATATTGGGAAGGAATTGTTCCCTGGCAGGGTGGGCAGGCCCTGGCACAGGGTGCCCAGAGCAGCTGGGGCTGCCCCTGGATCCCTGGCAGTGCCCAAGGCCAGGCTGGACACTGGGGCTTGGAGCAGCCTGGGACAGTGGAAGGTGTCCCTGCCCATGGCAGGGGGTGGGAATGGATGGTTTTGAGATCTCTTCCAACCCAAACTGTTCTGGGATTAAAATCTCCTGGTAAGCTGTAGGGAACAAAGCCCAAAGGAGCAGGAAGGGAAGTAGGTGTGGGAACAGCCTCGTGAGGTGAAATTTAAAATCACCTGGCAGATTGCTTCAGGTTTGGAAGGAGCAAAACCAAAGACTATAATTCAGTGAACACTGAAGCATTGGAAATATGAGTGAGGGAAGAATTTACTTTTCTAAAATAAATTAATTTTAAATTTGTGAAGCCCCCAAGCCCAAAACTCATCCAGTGAGTTACTGCTCCTTAGCCCACTGTCCTTTGCATCCCTCATCCTGTATTGGCTTTTGGATTCCTGAGTGGATTTTTCTGCCCCCTCTGAGTGCTGGGGCCAGATAGGATATCTTGGCTCATCTCTTGGCCTGCAAGTGTTGTTTGCACTTGCCTAAAGAAGGTGATACCCCCATAGTGCAAGGTCTGTGGTGTGCAATCCATGGGAGGATTGGAACGTCCTCCCCAGCTCCAGGGTCTGGATAAAGGACTGCAAGCTCAGGATACTGGGGCCTGTGTAAATATCCTTGGCTGGGTTTCACTGTAGTATGTGTGCCTGTTGTTTTGGATGTGGGTGAAGAAATCAGTCTGATGCTTGGTTTAAAAAGCAGTTTTAAAAGATGGTGCTATGCAGCTGCCAGGGAAATGCACGATGGAAAGGTGCTTGGAGTCTTCCTCCACTGTGTCACCTGGATGGTTAGGCCAGGCCTGATTGTCCCCTCTTGGCTGCAGAGGTGCCTGAGCCTTGCAAGGAGGAGAAGAAAAGGGAAGGTGAATTTATTATACACCCAGTACCTGAGAGGCAAGATGGGTTTCACAGCTGCTCCGACAGGAGAGCAAAGCACCCCTGTGAGGAGCTGGCAGCCAGCAGTGCTGCAGCTCTGTCCCCAAAAGGGGACTGTCCCTGTGGGATTGGCAGCCCACAGAATTATTTTCTAAGCTGTCTGAAGATATAGCATTGTCACATCACTTCCCCAGCATTGTAGGCTCTCAAAAGCAGGGGATAAAGAAGAATAATACACTTTATGATGTGCTAGAGGACAAATTTGGACATGCTTTGCTGTCAAGGAGAGGTGGAAGGGAAAAAAGGACAGGAATACACTGTTTTGCTGATCTGCTGTGGCTCCTGGCCTGTCTGTATGGGTGGTCCTGGGGTGTTTATGGAGGTTGTGTGTGTTGGGAGAAGCAGAATTATCTTCAGGAGTGGCCCTCACATCTGGGTCAGAAGCAGCAGGAGCTGAAAGATTACATGGGAGGGAAGGTGAGGGTCTTCCTGGGGAAGGATGGGGGGATCTTGGGAAGGTGGCAGAGATTAGGAGAAATCTCTTCATGGGAGAGCTGGAAGGGCAGGTTGAGCTTGGTGCTTTCTACTTTATGTTTTTGTTTCTCTCATTTCAGCTCTGCTTGAGTCACTCAACAAGAACGAGCAGTCAGCCAATGGCCAATCCCAACCCAGGGAATCCACAAACCCTCAGTTCAGGAAAATGAGTGGAGAATTCCCATCAGCCAACGGAGAGGCTGGGGGGGAGGCCCCCAAGGGCTACACTCAGGACCAGCTGGATGCAGTTAAGAGGTTTGTCCACAGCTCTCGGGGGCATTTGTTTGACTCTATCACATGGTACCCCGTCTGCTTTTCACAGTATTTAAAAAATTTCAGTTTTGAACCATATGGAACAATGTTAAGAACATGCCCAGGAGGATTTATAGCTCCAGCAGCCCTGGTAGGCAGCTGGCTTGGGTCTGCTCGTTTTCCAAACCCTGTTTCAAGCTTCCCTTTATTCCTTTCTCCCATTTGCCCATGCTGGAAGCTGAAGGACTGAACTGCAGGTGCTGTGGTGCTATCACTTGGTAAATTTTGTTTAAGGTTATGGGCATGGCCTGAATTGTGCAAGAACCACTTCAAGGGATTTGCAGGAATGTTTGTTACGTCACCCACTTCTCCTGAAACCCAGCCTGCTGGATTCTGTCTCATCACATGAGAAGCAGAAGCCTTGGCTGGGCTGAGTGTGCCCAGGAAGAATGGGCTGTGCACCCTGGGCTGCTCCCTCCTTTCTCTGGAGTTCAGCTGATGCAAGTTTTAAATCTGGGAATTAACTGAGGAGAGAGTGAGGGAGGGGAAAGGCCAATATCCTTCAGGTGCTGTAGTCCTTCCCAAACAGCCTCCAGCACATGAGCATGATGAATGTGAAGTTTATTTGCCAATCACATTCCTGTGTGGGTCTGAGGGGAGGCCCTTCCTCCTCCACTAGCCCAACTCATTCTGTGCCGGTCCTGCCGGCACAGCCACAGTGAGTGGGTGAGAACAGCTGGGTCACCTCTGAGGAGCAGGGCCTGAGTAATCCAGAGATCCCTGAGCAACATCCATCAAAACTGTGCTGCCTGAAAAGTCTCACAGCTGACAAGTATTCAAGAGTTTTTATATCCAGGTTTTTACTCCTAGAACTCAGTGTTTGCTCCCCTCTCTCCTGGCAGGGTAAAGCAGTGCAAAGATTACTACGAAATTCTGGGAGTCAACAGAGACGCTTCCGATGAGGA